ACACAGTTTTTACTCAGCAGCTGCTCCAGTGGAAGAAGGATGAGAAGTCTCCTCCTGTGTGATTTACTACTTCTGAAAACCTGCTGTATGGTCACCTAAGGGTGGTTCCAATTTGATGGTAAACAGCAAGAATTAGGTATGGGAATAGGCCTTGCCATCATGAGAGAAGAGTATTTCAGGAGCAAAGTGCCAGAGAGGAGAACAGGTGCCAACATAAAGAGACAGCAAGGAGACCAGTGAGTTCAGAACAGAGAGAGGAAGGAGGGCCCGGTGGGGAATGAAGCTGACGATGTGGCCCAAGGACGTATCACCAAGAGCCGCTAAAACATGGTGAGAACTTGTAATTTTGTTCCCAGTGCAATAAGAAGCCAGCCAAGAGAGAGTGACAGAATCTGATTTACATTTTAAAAAGATCACTTTTCTGCTTTGTACAAAGTACGGAATGACAGAAGCCAGAAGACCAGTATTGGTTTTCCAGGCAAAAGCTCATGCAAGTTTTGACCAGGGCAGAAGTTGTGGAAATGGTTCCATTTTGGAGTCTACTTTGAAGGTAGATCCTCTGAAAATTTCTCATGAATTAGAGAAGGAATTTAAGAAAAATAGAATAATGCTGATACCCCTTAGATTTTATGTCTTAGTCCAGGGTGAAAGATGATGCTGTTTATAGAGAAAAGAGGGGCAAGAGTTGCTTTTGCAATGGATAACAGGCAGATGGAGACTCCTATTTTGGACAAGCAGAATTCACATTTACAATTATTACAAATGCAAACAGAGATGTCAGGTAGAAATTGTAGATACTATTCTAAAGGAACAATAATATGTTAATTAGGAGTTGTTCTTGTTGATGTTATCTGCCATCAGGTTGCCTTGTGACTCATAGCAACCCAATGTACAGTAGCTCTGAACCTTGCCCTGTCCTGAGCCAGTCTCACTGACTCCGACACACCTGTGTCCATTATCCCAGTTACTATGTCAATACATCTCATCCAGAGTCTTACTCTCTTGCACTGTTCCTCCACCCCTCCAAGCAAGATGTTTTTCTCCAAGGGCTGGTCCCTCTTGGCCACAGAGCCAAAGTATGTGAGACCGAGCTTCAAAATCCTAGCCTCCAAGGAGAAATTTGATTTCACTTTTACAATACAAACCTGTTTGTTTTCTTGGCAATCCATGGTAAATTCAAGACTCTTCTCCAGTACCACAACTCAAAGGCATAGATTCTTCTTCTGTCATTCATAGTCATTGTTCCACTCTCTGATGTATAGCAAGTAATTTAAAAGACAATGGCCTGCATCAGGCACACCTTAGTCTCTAAATGGACATCATTACTCATTAGCACTCCGGAGAGGTCCCTGAGAGCAGACTTTTACAGTGCAAGTTGTCTTTTGATTTCTTGACTGCTGGTGCCAAGAGTGTTGATTATGGAGCTGAGCAAGCTGAAATTATTAACAACCTCAATTTCTTCTCCATCTATCATGGTGTTGCCAATTGGTCCAGTGGAGAATATTTACCTTCTTGATGTTGAGCTTCAGTCCATATTGAAGACTACAGTCATTAACTTTCTGTAGCAAGTGCTTCTGGTTCTCTTCAGTTTTGGCAAGCAAGGTTGTATCATCTGCATAATGCAGGTTGTTGATGAGTCTTCCTCCAATCCTGATGCCATATTCCTCCTCATAAAGCCCAGTCTCCTGAATGATATGTTCCACATATAGATTGAAAAGGTATGGAGATAGGACACATCCTTGATATACTTCTTTCTTGATTTTGAACCATGTGGTATTTCCTTGCTCTGTTCTAATAACTGCTTCCTGAACCAAGTATAGATTTCGCATGAGCATAAGCAACTGTTCTAGGATTCCCAGTCTTCTCAAAGTTAGCCACAAGTTGTTGTGATCCACACAGTTAAATGCCTTTGCATAGTCAAGAGATGTATCAGATATTGTTGAATAAGATGAAACTTTAGGATTGTTATCTCTCAGGTTGTGGTGATCTTGATTATTAGCATAAGAAAATTTGGCATAATTAAAGTAGGTTTCAGAAAAAATGAGAGGTGAAAATCAGAGGCAAGATATTTGCAACCTTTTTTGAGGGAGGTACTTACCTCTTAGAATAACCAACCATATAGAGTCAAACAGTGGCATTAACCTAAGGGCATCTGGTGGTTTAGTGGTAAAGAGTTGTGCTATCAACCCAAAGGCACTTGGTTTGAATTCCGCAGTTGCTCCATGGGAGGAAGATGGGCAATCTCCTCCCGTGCAATTCACTGCTACTGACAACCTGAAGGGTCAGCTATGGGTGGGTTCCAACTTGATGATGCATAACAACAAGAACAAAACAACAACAGAGCCCTGGAGGCAGTCAGGGGTAGGGTGAAATGATCAGTGGGAAGGAGCATTACCCAGAGGAAGTGGGAAAAGCACATTATGGGTATTGTAATAAATATGAAACAAGTTATCTGTGAATGGTTGAATGAAAACCAATTTGCATTGTTAAGTTTCACTCAATCTACATTAAAAATAATAAAAACATAGCAGTGAAGTATGAAGGTTCATTGAAGGAGATGTTAAAGAATACTTACACATGTATAAGGGGGAGCTTTGGTTCCTTTTGGAAGCAGGAGTGGCATCTACTTCCTAAACAACATACCTCTGGAAACTCAATGAACTTGATAAATGTCTATAGGTATAGAGGGGCTTCAGGTATTTTGTTCATAGGGTCACTATGAATCGTGTTCAATTCGAAAGCAATCAACCACAGGAACATGGTGCCATAGTGATATTAAGTTATGCAGTCAACCAAAAGGCACACAGTTCAAATCCACAAGCTGCTCCATGGAAGAAAGATGGGCAGTCTCCTTCTGTACAATTTGTTGCCTGTAAAAACCTGCTGGATGGTCAATAATGAGTTGGTTTTGACTTGACTGTACATAATAAGAATATTTTATGATAGAAAAATGAGATAATTGGGTAAAGTCCTTGAGTAGACAGGAAAGAATAGAATCTAGTGCTCTGAAGGAACAGATTTGGCCCAGATAGAAGTAGAAACAGTTTCCCCCCACACCCTCATGAATAGAAAAAAAAAGTAGAGCATATGGCAGACATGCAGGTAGGTAGGTGGATGTGGAGGTGGACAATGAGAAAGTTCCCTTCTGATGACTTGAGTTTTTTCTTGGTGAATTAAGAGTAAGGGCCTAAGATAGAAGACTTCAGATTTGAGAATAACAAAGAACATACACACTCTAATGTTAGAATATTCGGTACCCAAAAAAGACTTTCATCTTTCTGAAATTAGGTTATTTCATGAGTTAAAGCAGGGAAAGAAAGGGAATAGAAAAAGCAGAAACAGGAAGGTGAGATAGGAGAAAGGAGGTAAGGTGGCTGTCAGGGATTTGTACTGAGGGTGAGATATTCAGAAGAAATGAAATGTCACTTCAGTCTTTATTCATGAACATCAGTCTTTTCTGAGATGTTGGGTCAAATAAGTAATAGGAATATCAGCTTTGATTAGTTGTGTCCTAACCAGACTTTTCTCCTAAATTACCTGCTCTTTAATAAAGAGGTGAATTAGAAAGCAATATTGGTCCCTCACTGATGTTGAGTTGGGACTCTCCAGAGGGTTTTTGGGCTGCCGTAAACTGCAGGGTCTCATGGAATGGCTGGTAGGTTGAGTCACCAGAGAAGCTCCATGTTGGCTTAGGAGCACAACTCCCTACACATTAGGTCACCAGTGGAGCCACGCATGGAACCATAGATGACCTAATGAGCCCCACATAATCCTTTCCAATCAAATAGCATCATGTGTTGAATTATGCTCCCTCCCAAACACATACATGAGATGATAAAATGTGGAAGGTACATAATGGCTCCTCATGACCTGATAATAACTGTAAAAGGATTAAAGGTGCAATACAGCACCCCTTAATCCCATCAGAGCCCACACCTAATGGAAGGGAGTTTTCCTAGAGTGTGACAACTAATAACTTAACACTTTTTGTCTTACTAGAGATAAAAGAGAGGAAAATGAACTCACAGATGGGGGACCTCATCACCACCAAGAACAAACTGTCAGTAGCGGAGTGAGTCCTTTTGGACCCAGGTTTCTGGGATCCTTGATACGAGACAAGGCCAAGATACATATGGAGGCCAGTCTCTCCTGTAGGGTTGGCATCCTGAAAGACTTGCTATTCTTCTGAGAGTTGGACAATGAACAAGGATGACAGAAGAAGATGCCTTTGAGTTGTGGTGTTGGAGAAGAATATGGAATATCCTGTGGACTGCTGAAAGAACAAATAGATGTCTTGGGAAAGGTACGACTAGAGTGTTCCTTGGAAGCTAAGAGGGTGAAACTTTGTCTCTCATATTTTGGACATGTTGCTAGGAGATGCTATTTCTTGTAAAATCATAACATGTTTGGAAGGGTGGAGGGTCAGCAGAAGAGGAAAAGACTCCCAAGAAGGTGGATGGACACAGTGACTGCAGCAATGAACTAAAGTGTATCACAGATGATGGGGACGGCACAGGATAGGACAGGGTCTGTTGTTCATAGGGTCATACTCAACTTTATGGCACCTAACAACAAATGATAAGGGAGCTGTACTGCCAAATGGTTCGAATGCACCAGCTGCTCTGAAGGAGAAAGATAGGCAATCTCCTTCCATGGGATGAAACTGCCTCTGAAAACCTGCTAGAGGGTTAACTATGGATTGGTTCTGGCTTGATGCTACTTAACAATAGCAATAACAATAACAAGAAAACAATAACAATAAAAATAACAATAACAATAACAACAAACCTCCTAAACTATGAGAAAAAATAAAGTTCTGTTTGTTAAAGTCTTCCACTTGTGGTATCTCCCTTTTACCAACTAGGTAACTAAGACAAACAGGGTAGGAGTGCCCAGAGACAAATGACTTCCTTATGAGGACTTCCCTCCACCAGATAACAAATGCAAGTTTGCTTGTTAAGTTCACACAATTCTCTAATACATGGAGAATCACCACTTACCAAGAATGATGACAATGCTATACTTAATGGCCTTGATTTTTGCCTTGGAGATGAGCCCTCTGTTGTAGCTGGTACACAGTTTTCCATCTGTAGACACATAAAGGATTGGAAATATGAAGTATCTGGGAAATCACCATTTGTATTTCTATGAATAGAAACACCAAAGTTAGACACATGTCTGTCACATGGATGCCACTGATGTTTGTTAGCTGCCTCCTACTCTTGTCTAGCCAATATGCAATGAGACAAAATTCTGAGTGGTGCAAACACTTAATGGTGCCTTAGATAAAAAGCCTAGTGTGTGACTTCCCAAAATTCAGTCATTAAAAATCCTTTGAAGCAGAGTTCTGCTTTGACAAAGATGATGGCACTGTGAGTTGGAATTATCTTGACCACCACAAAGCTTTAGTCCTGTATCTTTATTGTTATGTGCCATCCAGTGGACTATAACTCATGGCAACCCTATAAACAAAGATCTGACCTTGCCCTATCCTGTACCATCCTCACGATCTCCATCACGCCAACCCCAATGTTGTATAGTCACTGTGTAAATCCATCGCACTGAGAACCTGCTCCTCTTTTGCTGAACCTTGATTTTCCCAGTGTGCAATCTTTTCCCAAGGATTGGTCCTTCTTGACAATATGCCCAAAGTTTCACCATCTTTGCATCTAATATCCTTTTGTCGTCCATATTGTTGTTGTTGGGTTGTTTTTTGTTTTTTTAAATGCATGCAGGCCTATAAATGCTTACTAATCTGTGCCAAGATATTTGGAAGCATGCTGCTTGGCCAACTGACTGGAAGAGATTGATATTTGTTCCTATTCCAAAGAAGGGTGATCCAACGGAGTGCAAACATTATTGAACAGTATCAATATTGTATGAAAATTAAATCTTGCTGAAGATAGTTCAAATCACCTATGAGCCATTCTGTAATGGTGAAACACTGAGGGAGTAATATACGAATATGATTTCAGGGATATAATAAATTTTATTTCTTTCACTCTTGGATCCTGCAAACATTAGTTGTTGTATTGGTAGGTGAAGTAAAGTTTCAACTTATAGTGATCGTACTATGTCTAGCAGAATGAAACATTATCTGGTCCTGTGCCATCCTTACAATTGTTGCCATGTTTGGATTAATTATCTCAGCCTCTGTGCCATTGTAGCTCAGTGCATTGTGATTCTGAGTCACAGTGACCCTACAAAACAAAGGACAACTGTTCCACAGGTTTTTTCTGGGTTGCATTCTTTAGGGGAACAGATCACCATGGATTTTACCCCGTGGACTCACTGGAGGTTTAACACCACAGACTCTTTTGGTTAGGAATCATATAATCAACAATGTGTAACGATGTCACTCTGGAGACTAAGGTGCACCTGATACATGCCATGGTCTTTGTAATCACTTGCTATGCTTCAGAGAGCTGGACAATGACTAGGGATGATAGAAGGAGAATTGATGTCTTTGAGCTGTGGTGCTGGAGAAGAGTATGGAATATACCATGGACTGCTAAGAAAATGAACAGCTTTGTCCTGTAGAGGGTGAAGCCAGGATGCTTTTTAGAGACAAGGATTCTGAAGCTTTGTCTGATAGAATTTGGACATGTTGCAAGGAGGGACCAGTCCTTAGAGAGGAATGTCCTGCTTGGGAGGGTGGAGGGACAGTGCAGGAGAAGAAGACCCTCAATGAGATGGATTGATTCAGTGACTGGGGTAATGGGGGTACGTGTGTCAGAGATAGTGAGATTGGCACAAGATAGGGCCCAGTTTAGGACTGTTGTACATAGGGTCGCTATGAGTCGCAGGTGACTCGATGGCACATAACAACAACAATTACTGCTGGTGCTTCTGCTTTGAAGTTTACCTTAGGATTGTTGATTCAATTTATTCTTGTTTTCAATCAAGTAAAATCCAATAGCCTAGAACATCACTAGGTGAGGTGACAGGGAAGAAATAAAATAGCTAAAATGGGCTTTTGTTCTCTAGGATCTTTCAACATACAAGAAAAGAAGGATCACATCCTCTCTATGAGAAAGGGTGAAGAAGGAGAGAGAGAACTTTTCCAAGGGACACAGAAAAGAGCTATTACCTGACCAGTGCCTCATGGGAAATGCATTGGACACCAATTAAGTTTGACTTATAGGTAGAATCCCCAAAGGCAAGGAATGTTAGTGAGGTATTGGGAAAGACTTACTAAGCAGAGGGAACATCCTTACCTAAGACATGAAAAGCAGCAAACAGGATATTTTTGGTCTATGGTGAATCATCTTCCTTGGCTGTTGCCTAAAATTTCATGAGTTTGAGGCAAGGGAAAACTTGAGGTCAAAATGGGAAGCCCTTGAATGTCTTTATTAGGAGTTGGACAAGATTTCTGAGGCAGCATTTGACCGTTTTTGTATTATGAGTATTTATTTATTGGAAAACACTAACACCAACAATAACAGGAATAAAATATTTTTATGTGTAAAAAATGAAATGTTAAGTATAATTGATTCATACTTCTTAAAGTATATCATGTAAGGCCTCTCTTAGACACTGTTAGAGCATTAAATTATCCTGTGCATTTCCTAGAAGCACAGAAACTAAGTGTTGTGAGGAAGCAAAAGCAATATAAATATTATAGCTATGTTTCCCACCTGGGGGAGATTTTGCTACTCAAGAGACTCTTAGTGATGCCTAGAATTATTCAGTCAAAATTCAATAGTGTCAATATTGAGAAACTCTGATTTCCAGCATACCAGGGAGTTCTGGTGACCCTGTGGTAAGAAGTTGCGCTGTAATCCCAAAGGCTTGCAATTTGAATCCACCAGCGGTTCTGTGGGAGAAGGATGGACAATCTCCTCTCCTGTGATTTACTGCCTCTGAAATCCCACTGAAGGTTCAGCTATGAGTTGGTTCTGGCTCGACAGCACACAACATCCTGCAAAGTACTTCTTATGTAACTGAAAGTTGGACAGTGCATAAGAATGACAGAAGAATTGATGCCTTTGCTTTGTGAATGCTGGAGAAAAGTACTGAATATCCCATGGACTGCCAAAAGAACACACAAATATGTTTCAGAGAAAATGCATCCAGGGTGCTCCTTAGAGGCGAAGATGGTGAAGCTTCCTCTTGTATATTTGGGTCATGTTGTCAGGAGAGGTCTGCCCTTAAAGAAAGACATACGCTGAGGAAAGTGTAGGTTCAGAGAAAGAGAGGCAGCCCTTCAAAGAGTTGGGTTGGCACATTAACTACGACAATGGGCTGGGACTTATCAGAGATAGTGAGGGTGGTGTGGGATGGGGCAGGGCTCAGATCTATTGTTCTTAGGGTCACTATGAGTTGTAGTCTCTATGGCCCCTCACAGTAACAAACCTTGAGAGTGTCCTTTGGTGGGGTAAGCAGCATGCACCCGACTAAAGATCTAAAAGCAGTTCACTTTAAGCCAATGGTGGCACAGAAAGTCCAGGAATCTTCCGTAAAGATTACAACAAAGAAAGTTCTATGGAGCAGTTATTCTGTGTAATACATGGGGTCACCACACAATGGATCTTGTTTGCTTCTAATCTTGGGGAAAAGAATCATATTGGGCTGTGCAAATGGTTAAGACTTTTAGCTGTTCAATAAAAGGCTGGAGGTTCAAGTCTTTCCAGGAGGTACTTTGGATGAAAGTCTTGGCAATCTATAGCCATAGACTGCCCCCTTAGAGCGCAGCTTTGCTTTGACACACATGAGCTAGTCAGTATAGACTCCATGTTATTACGTAGGTATTGTTAGTTATTATCCTGGGAAGGAGACAGCCTTCAGGATCAGATCTGAACAGAACTCCATCTCTACTAATTACTAACTGTATAAGGCATCATGCCGGGAAGGGTGGAGGGTTGGTGAAGGACAGGAAGACTCTCAACCAGGTGAACTGATACAGTGACCACCACAATGGTCTCTTGTGTATCAGGAATTGTAAGGATGGCACAGGATAGAACAGGGTTGAAATCTTTTGTTCACAGGGTTACTATGAGTCATACTTGACTCGATGGTACAACAACAACCTAATTTAAGGCACATTGCTTAAAGTTCACAGCCTCATTTTATTCCATTTGAACAATGAAGGATAAGACACTGAACTCACAGAGTAATTTGGGGGATTAAAATGAAATAATATATGCAAGGTGCCAGGACCCAGGCTGGAATGCCTGTTCCCTTATTAAATGGGATAAATGAGGTTTTAGAATCATTTTAGAAGGAATAAAAGCTGCCTTTATGGAAGTGAACAGAAGGCATTACTGTATTAAATCATCTATTATCCAACTTTGTTACCTGCATAGGGATTATACACAGCAAAGAACTATCAGGGTGGGATTATACCCACAGGGTGCAAGTAATGAAGACGGCACACCAAATTATGTTCTTTCAACGTGTCCCACTTGCTGGTGCAGGGTAATAGCTGGGCCATAAACAGCATGACTCTGAAGACTTAGTTGGTCTTTTAGAAAAGTCCTCAAGAATGACATCTGTGTTCTGAAACCTATTTAAAATGGAAACTAGCAGTACTTTCCACAGGACAACTGGGTGACAATATAATCAACTACCTGCCCTTGGATCTCCCAATGAGATCTGTGAAAGCACCTTTAATCTCATCACTCCAGGAAATGCAAAGCTTCCAGCTCTAAAGAAGCCTCTTCAAAGAAAGCTGAGCTACAAAATGCCGGTAATTCTCCTTTATTGGAAGATAAAAGGATTATTTTTACTCAGGCCAGGGCACTGAGCTCAAGTGAAAAGCAGTTAAATTCAGCCGTCACTGTGCATTAATAGCTCAGGAGACTTGAGGCAGTAGTTCCATTAGATTCAGGCCTGGAAGCTGCAAGCTGCCTTCTGCAGTTTTAGTTCAAAGGTGCATCCATGACAGGGACCCACACTGGAATTTAGTCTTCAAATGACCAGTTGCTGCCCCTCATCTGCTTAAGCCTTCTGTGTTCTTTACAGAGCTGCTGGGAATGCATTCTTCAGAAGACGAGCTAGACAATTAAAGAGAGTGACAACTAAAGTGAGATTTTTAAGTGGACATGGAATTTATTCTTTGTAGGGGACTCCACTGTCTATTGATAAT